GAGGGTGGGAGGGGCAGCTCCACCTGCTCTCAGGGCTCAGGTCACCCACTGAGGCAGGAATAATACTGAGAGTTTACCACCTGCCGTGTGTGTGGCTGAGCATTTGATAGTCATTTTTGCCTCACACTCGTCTGAACCTCTGCCTAGAGCAGGCAGTGGCTCACCTTGGAACACAGCGTAATCAACAGACCTGGGTTAGAGTCTTAATGTTCCTAAACCTCAGTGTTCTCTATTATTCTCTAGTCATTCAACAAACTGAGAACCTACCACATGCTAAGCTCTTGCTAAGAAACAGAAGTAATCCTTGTCTTCCTGGAGCTTCCATGTTGGGGGAGATGGACATGTGACAAATCAACTCACACTTGGCTGTGGCTACAATAGAGGTCAGTGCTGTGACAGAAGAGCAAGGGAACAAGAGTGGCGGTGGGATCTGGAGGTCCAGGAAGCCCCTCTGCCAAAGGGACTTCTAAGCTGGAAACTGGAGGAGGAACCGGAGTTAACTTGGTGAGCAGCCAGCCGACCGGAGGAAGCCTGCAGGAGGCCCGAGGGACTGAGGGGACTGCGGTGAAGAGACAGTTCCCAAAGGGGCACTCAGGGCTGAGGGATGGGAAAGAGATTCAGTTCTAGGAATTGAGAGGCCGGTGGAGTAGCAGGGTGGGAAGGGGGAGAGAGCGCTTTGGGAGGTGGAAGGCCCTGGGAGGAATCTCGGTTTTATTTTCATCGCGATGGGACTGTATCAGGGCCAGAGGGGGTGCTGTTGCTGATCCAGCTTGGATGCCGTGGAGACGTATTTGGGAGATGGAATCTAGAAACTGGGAGAAGTGAGGGGTGCCGGAGAGACAGGTGGCATGAATAGCTCTGGCTGGGACTTGCTGAGATTCGGATGCTTGTGTTGTCCGATTGGAGATGCCCGGAGAGGTAGACTCAGGGTCCTCAGCAAAAGGGGCATTTCTGGCCACGGGAAAAGATGGGCTCAGCTCAGGAGAGAAGAGGGCCAAGGTGAACTAGGGAGGTCACCACTCCCAGGTCTGGGAGAGAAGGCGGCGTCAGAGGTGACTCAGAAGAGGAGCTGGAGGGAGCAGAGAGGAAATCCAGGAGTGTGATGCAGGAAGAGCCAAGAGGAGTGAGTGTGGGGGGGGAGGGTGTGGCCAACAGTGTCCAGTGCTGCTGAGAGTAGGATGGGGGTAACGGCAGCCCTTCTCAGGGGCCGCTCACAGAGCAGTGACTCGGAGCAGAGAAAACAAGCCCCCAGCTCAGTTTGGGACATGAGTGCTCAATAACTATTGTCTATTGTCATTGCCAAACTCCTTAAGCTCATGGGGACCCAGCAGGAGACAGAGAGCACCCCCAAATGGGTGACTGAGGGAACAAGAATGGAGAAACTGTTTACCAAGGGCTAAGGAGATCACCAAGGGCAGCAGAGGGAAGCAGAGCCCCACTCAAGCGACTGCGAGAGGGAGACACTCCCCTGTAACCTGCACCTGGAGTGGGGCCACGAGAGCTGGAGCTGTGGCCTTCAGCAGAGACCTGCAGCATCTGTCCACCTGCGGCCCTCAGGGAGGGAGCTGGGGAAATAAATATTACCCTAGTCTCCTCCCGGCCAGTCGGGCCTCCCGAGGGTGCAACCCAAAAGGAAGCCTTCAGGCAGGGGAGCCTGGGTGGACATAGCACACGTCAGCCTGGAACAAGGATGCCCGGTGATCTGCAGGGCAGACTGCAGCAGCCCATGTGCGTGATGTCTTTGGCCTAACCGCCTTTTCTATCCTCAGCTCCTGTGCCACCACACCTGCACCCCATCTTCCTAGCATCTACTCGCTCATTTTCATGCCTCCAAGACATAAGTTCTCCTGTAAGTCCAAGGAGACCATGACCTCTGCGGTCATTTCAGATAGTTCCTGCTGCCTAACAGGTCTCCCCACCATTTCTACCTGCTCCAGTCCCTCCTCCACTTGGTGACAGAGTTGCTTTTTTTTTTTAAATCCTCACCGGAGAATATTTTTTCCATTGATTTTTTAAATTTAAATTTTGTTTTTTGTTAATTCTCATCTGAGGATATTTTTTCCATTGCTTTTTCAGAGAGTAGAAGGGAGGGAGGGTGAGAGAGAGAGAAACATCGATGTGGGAGAGCCACATTGATTGGTTGCCTGTCACATGTGCCCTGACTCACCCAGGGATCAAACCTGCAACCCAGGTACATGACCTTGACCGGGAATTGAACCCATGGCCCTTTGCACGAACCAATGCTCTAATCACCGAGCCACACTGGCCAGGGCTCAAACCCAGGCTCCTAATGCCTTGTTAGGGGAATCGGCTGGACAGAGCAGCAGCCTCCTGCATAATGGAAGTTATGTTTCAGGAGGCAGCATAGCACAATGGTTGTTTTCTGGCATTAATTTTTCCTGGCTGCATTCTGTACCAGCCATGTGAATTGGAAAAATTCTTGGACTTCTCTATGCCTGTTTCCTCATTTGTAAACAGAATCAAAGGAGCATATACTTAGGAAGTCCTTAGTAGATGCTGGTCACATAGCAAGTACTCGGTATACATTAATTCTTTTCATTAGTATCTGGGTCTAGGAGCCACGATGGGACGGCTGGTGGGAGGAGAGGTACCATTGAAAGGGCAGACTGGCCCGACCAGGCATGGCTCAGTGGCTGAGCATCGACCTAGGATCCAGG